TAAGTAGTTCGAATCGAATACTTTTAAATTTAAATTTTAAATTTTCGTAACTAAGGCAACTGGCAAATTAATTGGTACCGAAAGGGCTGTTCAAGGGTGTTAATCATTCCTTTACCGTAACCGACTCCTGAACCCGACACATTTATGGTACAACGCAGATCAGGTAAGATGGTGTCCGATCTACCTAATATCGCTTTAAAATGATCGGTGGTGACTCTAACCTCACTCAATTGAAGTCGAAGCCCAATTCTGGGCCCCACCGAAAGAAGGTTCCGACAGAGATCACAAAAATATTATCTCTCTAATAATTATTTTTCTCATAATTTTAAAATAAAATTTACCCTATATTTATAGAGTCAAATATTTGAACACCAAAAAAATTTATTTCATAAGAATTCTTCTCTAAATAAACTTAATCGTATGTCAAGTAATTTACAAGCACTAAAATACAACAAAATCAAATTTCATTACCAATTAGAATTTGAGTCAACATTATTGGCACAAATTCTATTAGAGAATTGGCCTTTAAGTATGCAACAACTTAAATTCTTACATAAATCAAATATACGTTGAAGATCATTGAATTGATTGAAAATTATTCTCTTATAATTTAAAAGACGTTATAGCAAAATGTCTCTTACATGTCCTAAATCTTGATAACGTAATCCACAATAAATTCTCTTGAAACTGAATAACTATTCATGATAATATCATCGTGATTCTCAAAACAAAGCTCTAACACCACTCGTAAGGAAGGGATACCAAAAAGCGTTGATTAAGATGAAATGGATCAAACATAAGAGACAAAATTTAACATGGCTAAGTTATGTTTGTCTCAACGTATGAGAGATACAATAATGGATTAATCCATTATAAAAATAGATTATAAAGAGTACAAATACATTAAATTTCTTGTATCTAGTAACTCGATATATATCTCACAATTTGGTGTAATCTAAAAACTTCGTATATTACCAAAATTATAATGTGCATCCCTACAAAATTCATCTTTACAACAAAGATCACAAAAAAGGATTACATTCTCTCTCATAGACATCTACATTTATAGAGCCAAATATATATCATATTCAATAATAATTCTTGTTTAAATAAACTTAATTACCAAATAAAATTCAATCACTAAAATTGTATCGAAATTGAACTTAATTACCGATTAGAATTAGAGTCAGTATATAATATTATTCGATCTATGTTATATGAAAATAAAGGCAAAAGAAGAGTGACTTTGTTGTAGTTTTTCCATTTTATGATTAAGGAAAAGAAACTTGTTTAATCTAATTTTTTTAAATAAACAATAGATATATTTCTTATATGACTACAAAACTCTATTTCTTTCTCTTAATTAGGCTTAATGGATGATCATCTTGTCAAGATTGATTAAGATTTGCGGACAAATTAAATAGTATATCCCAACTTTAGCCCTATAATAGTGATGTCAAAGCAGTACGTTGAGAAGAATAAAACTATGAGCAATAAAGTAAAACTTTCCCGTACTGCAAGAAAAGATGAATAAATTCAATCTCTTAATATATATTAACTATTAAATGTATTTAACTGCACAGTGCTAAGGTCACTCAAAAGTTAAAGACTTGTTTTTTGGAGAGCCATAGGACCACCATTTTATTTATCTGTAGAATACTTATCCAATTGATATAATTGTTATTGGAATTTGAAAGTTCATTAATATTAAGTTTAAATGGATTTAATTAAACCTCAACAGAGTATAATTAATTATATAATTAATTAAGAGTGAAGATTAAATATACATATAAAAAACCATAATCCATAGTTGTTTCGAAGACACGAGATTTTGCTTCTGCAATTCGACAGGTGGCTAAGGATCCATCACCTCTCATCATTCATGGGGAGCTTCACGAAATTAATTAAACAAATTCATCACCCTAAATTATATAATTAGTTTGATCCCACTCAAGGATGGACCTAGGTAAAAATTTTAAAATTCTGTATATTTTAATCTTTTTTATTCTTATTGAAAATATATTTTTATCCTCTAAAATTTTATAAGTTTATATTTCTTTCAAAACTTATAAATTCATCTCCTCGATATAAAATCCTACGTAGATCGCTAATCTCATTCCTAATAAATAAACAATAACTTTATCATGATGTTTCTCTCAACTACTGAATTATAGCCATTAGCTTTGTTGTCTTGCCACATAGTGCTTTAATGAAACTCTTTCTAAAGGCAATTATTATTGTTGTTGTTATTCAATATATAACCTAATATCCCCAAAAATTATTCTTAAGCTAAAACTTTTTATGTTTTTTTATATAATATAAATCAAATACTTTAATCCAGTCTTTTCACCATTGCTTTTTGCAGAGATGATATCATTTCTTCATATTCTTTTAAGTTTTTGAAATCTTTGTAATTATCTTTTACGAATTGATAAATAATTCTTTGTTGTTCCTAGGGCCAAGCCTGTGTCACATTGCAAACAAAAAAGAAAAAAACAATTCCCACCATAATTGTACTGACGGCAGACAAAATCACAGATAAGCATTCTTTTTATCATTGATAATGGGTGAATGCCTTAATCTCTTGAGAGAGAAAAAGAAAACATAAAGTCCACGATTTTATGTCAGCAGGAGCTTGATGTTGAAGATCTCAATTAAGCGACAAGCGACAAGTTAATTATGTATGAAATTGAAAATGTTGACTTATTTGTGACTTGTGAATTCAAACGTATCCATCAAGACTAAAAGGTTGATGGTAAGGTTCCTTAGGTCGCACATTCATTTGCTTATGATCTATAGTTTAAATGCTCAAGAAACCATTACAATAATATTAATCTCGATAAATATAATATAAAACGAATGTTTGATTTGCAAGCATTTGTTATCCTGTTAATATTCAATTATCATGATATAAAAGCTGTGTAATCATGGTTTTTCTTAGGAAACAAGTAAGGATCGATGATGTTTCACTAATAAAATTATTTATCAAGAAAGAAAAAAAGATTCTTTTTTCTGTATATATAATTTAAAATGTAACATAATTTGATCCGTATAGTTATTTTTAAATTTTGAATTTAAAATTATAAATACAAAAATATAAATTCCTCTGTTGAAGGGTGAAGGAGAAATATAAAACACCTGAAAAAGAATAAAATAACAAAATTTGAGGAATTTTATTTTTTAGAAAAGGGAAATGATAAATAAGTGTTGGATGAGAAAGGTGTGAGACTTTACACCAAAAATTCTTAAACCACATTAGTCCAGTGGTGACCAATCCTGACCTGATCATCAGATTTGACCTCACAAACATATAGGGGAAACAAAGCTGTGAACCACAAAGTGGAATGTCCAATCATTTGGGTATATGTATATTTATATTTTTTTGTGGTTAATGTTGGAAATCAGATCGATAAGTAGTATTTTATTTTTATTTTTTAAAAAAAAGGGTAGGATGTTGTCAAACACGGCATCGAGACACCTGTTTCAATGGAGAAGATGGTAAGGATGACTTTGTTGTTTGATGTTCACTTGGTTAGAAATTGGATAGAAGGGTTGGTAAAGCGTGAGCCCTAAGGTTACCTACTCATATCACAAACATTATTCTGTTCTGATGTTTATTTTTAGCCCAGTAAAATTGTCGAGATATTATTTTTAATATTTTTTATATAATATGTTAGAAAAATTATTTTCTTAACTAATGTGAAGTTATAGTACATGTGAAAAGACGTTTGAATGAAACTATTTTCTCCAAATTGTATGCATGTTCAAAAGTTGATAACACTATGATCTTATTAAAATCGTCCACATCTTTTTAAAATCGTCATGTTATTCAGACGTCTTTCGACGTGTATTGTCACACTAGATGAGAAACTAATTTTTCAAACATTCTATATCACATATTTTTTTAATTATATTTGCAGACGTTCATTTTTGTTCGGGTTTTAATTATTTATTATTATTATATTATTAATAATATTTTTATTATTTTTTATAAATCCAACAAGTCAAGTCCGAATTACAATCAACCCAGACCCATTTGTAAGATGTCCATTTCGAGTCAAGCCCAACATCCCGTCCAATCAACAGGCCCAACCAAATTAAAACCCAAAATGGTCATATTATTCATGTCTTTCGCCGTGTATTGTCACACAATATGAGAAACTAACTTTTCAAACACTCTATACCACATAATTTTTTTAATTACATTATCTAACTAATTTTACCTTTTTAAACCCAAAAATATTAGTTTTTTAAAATAAAATTTTGAAATTCTTTAAATATATAAATGAACTATTGCCTCTCTAGATCTATGCAGAATATTTATGATGAAATTCGATCTCATATTACACGAGTTAAAATGTTTTTTTATTTATAAAAAAACTAACAACCAGTTGATTTAGTGGGATGATACACTAGATTCTCTAAGTAAGGTCAGAAATTCAAACTCTGACGTTTGTGAATAGAGCAAATTAGATTAAGAGGATCACCATCGCTTCTACAGTACGACGAAAAGGATGAACAAGGAGAAGCCCAAGAACGAATGTGGGTGCGTGATGTAAGTGAGGTGGAAAATTGGACTTTGAAAGAGGTGAAAAATATATTTAAAAAAATGAGTAAATCAATTTTTCTCTACACTATTTTAGGTTTATAAAAAAGTTTATAATTACTATTTTATCAAAATTACACTAGTTAAAATAAAAATTAAACCCTTTTACTAACACGCTACACCATCAAGCTAACAGAACTCAACGTCATTGTGATAAAAACTTAATAAAACGGTAACGTAAGTGATTAAAACTTAATTTTTTTTAATTTGATGGCAAAAGTATACAAATATGAAAGGTAACTGACCATTCCGGTAGTTTACCCTTTTTTCTTTTTAATTGAGTTGGGCTTTATATAATGAATATAATAACTAAAAGAAGCCTATTATAGGCCCATAATGACTTATTCTAATCAAATGGACCGTCTGGTAAGAAAGGCAGCCACATAGGAAAAGAAATTTCTGTCTCCTTCGTTATAGGGTTTACGAATAACCTCGATTTCAATCTCCACTTTCATATCTCCGGCAATAAAACTCCACCGTTCCATTCCATCCTAGGGCGCGGAACACCCTTACTTTCTTGGGTTTTTCCTCAGATCCATTCCCAGGTAACAATTCATGCCTTAGTTTCGAAGTAATCGACAATTCCTTATCTTTTCCTTCTCGTTAAGATTCTACAATTTTGAATCTTAGCCCTTAATGTATTTACTTCCCGATGTTCTACACTTTTTTTTGTTTGGATTTTCGGTAGGATCATAGATTGGTTGAATGTGCCTGTTTCTGATTTGGATTTTGTTTTGTCCTAGCAATTGAATGAATTGGAGTGGTTAATCCATAAATGGTTTTGGATTTCTTTGTCGTTGTTTTAGATCTGTTTGTAATATATGCGTTTCGTTAGTTAAAATAGTTGAGCAGCACAGGGATCTCTATTGCCTGGTCTCAGATTGTACAATGTGTTCATCAGTGGTGCCCGTCTATTGTTCCAACTTTCGCTAGAACAGGCCAATGGGAACTATTCTTTAGTATCTAAGCTGTGATTCGTAGTTTGTCACTTCCCGTTTGCCGTTATGCTAAGTCCGACGAGCTCATAGGTTCCATATACTAGTTTTAGTATTTTATATGACGGATGATCCTTTTTCAATCAATCACTCAGGATACACGTTTTAGTTTTTATGTTGTCCTTTGTAAATTCTGTTGTCTCTGACAGAGTTGTATGTTTTTTGGGCTATGTTAGGCACTCAATTGTTCGTTTTCCCTAATGTTTTGAGCTTACAGAATTCATATACTAATGATTGTGGGAAGTATAGCATGATGAGAACTTGTGAGCTATGTTTCTAATCCGTGATATTGTTCTTTGTTGATATTATTAGGTATTTCATCTTGAGTTGGTTGCAACATGGGTGATTTTTCAATCCAGATTAGCTCCAGCCTTATCAGCCGCTTAGCTGAAGATGATTTGAAGCCGAAGAGAAGAACAAAGAAAACTAAAAGCAGGGTGCCATTAGAACCTCCAAAGCCGGAAACTAAGGTCGATCAGAAGCATATATCTGATGATTCTGAACAACAGAAAGGGATTGAAGGCACCAGATGGCCAGTTCCACCTCCCTTATTTCTGCCCGTAAACCAACCTCCTTATGCTGCCAGTGCAGAGTTAGATGCAATTAGATCTGTTGTTAAAGAGAGTGAGAACGTCGTTGAAAAGCTGCGAAAGCAGGAGGAGAACATGGTGCAGGAAGTAACACAAAAAGCTAAGGATCTTCATGAGAATGAGTTCAAGATTCCAGAACCGAAGCCTATGCCTTGTTTGGTTGAAAGTAATGCTTGGATGGCATGCTATAAGGAGAATGCTAATGACCTTACTAAATGTGCTTCTCTGGCCCAAAATTTTGCAGAATGTTCTCGCAAAGTTAGGCAGTTAGCAAAAACAGCTGATAAATAGGCTTTGACAGGGACAAATTTTCAAGTGATAGAATTGGTGCCTGTTTGAGTTTAATTTTGGCATTGCAAATAAACCAGCAACGGAGAAAACCTACTAATTTGTCTAGCACCCTTGTAGGGTTACATTCTGTGTCATTTTGACCTTAATCGTCTGATATTTTTGGTTTGGGTTTTTTTGCTACCTGACCTTGGTTTCAAGGTACAATTTAGTACTTAATTTTTTTTTTGTTCCAATTAAGTACTTGAACATTGCTTTAACGTTAACTTTGGTAGCTAAATATTTTTTCTATTTGAGTACTTAAATTTGATTTGTTGGTTCAAATTAGTATTCAAACTCTACATTTTGGTGTAAATTAGTACTTACAATAAATGACTTATTTGAATTATAAAGCTTTGGTCCATAATATGATGTCATTAGCTGCATTGACAAGACCCGGATATTCAGCTTATGTAATAGACCGAGAAACTGATCTTTGTTTGCGTGTGCTGCAAGACAATAAATAATATCCAGATATCCACTATAGACACAATAATCATCTGAATCAATACCCTAGTCAGCATAATAAAAAGAAATGAGAGTGAAACATGTCTTCTGAGGAGAAAACCTAAGATCATAATTGATAGTGCCCTTTAGATATATCAAAATACGCCTATCTGCCAACCAATGGCTATCTTTACTGTGCCACCTTGGAAGAAATATATGGCCTAATGTGTAAATGTACTGTAAGGCCCTCACTATGCTTCTGCATTGATAAGGGTTCTTCAAGTCTTTGACCTCCATCTTTGCAAAGCTTCGACGAAATAACAATATGAGTGGAAAAAAGCCTGACATCTATCTTCTTGGCCTTGTGTAAGACTTCAGTGATGTACTTCCTTTGAGTTTTAAAGAGACCGCCACTAACTTGCTTCACTTCAATACCAAGGAAATATTACACATTACTTAGATCCTTCAATGAAAAATTCTTTTTGCAATTTGTGTATAACTTCATTGATTTGTGTTTCAAAATTCCTTATGAAAAGTATATCATCTACGCAGACAAGAATATAAGTGATGATTGTGTCAACAAAATACACAAATAATGAATTATCAGTTTTGGAAAGCCTGAAGTTGAGACTAAACAGAAAACCTCTTAGTTATTGAACCAATTCTTGGGTGCTTGTCCAATGCCATTTAAAGTCTTTCTCAACTTACAGATCAAAGGAGTCCCATAATTTGTTGTTTGTTCAAATCCACAGGGCTAAGGCATATAGACATCATCCACAGGAGTTTTGTGGAATTGAAGGAGCCATTGTTTTCATCACTTAAGTCCCTTCTTATTCTCAAAACTCCTGTGGATGAAAACAAACGTTGGCATGCAATGTCGAAGACAGTCTGAAGTTATAAGAAGGGACTCTTTTGAACGTTGGAGATGAATCGTTGATGGTGGCAGCATTTTGCACCGAAGCGAAAACATCACCAACAATACTTGATGAGAGCATAGCTTCATTCATGATTCTTCAATGCACAAAGAAAACGAAATCACAAAAGAAAATCAAAACAAATATAAAACAAAAGATTCCGAACTCATAATGTCAACATCGACACTAGGAAAACAACCGAGATGAAAGTAAATCTACATCGACAACACCATCCATGATCGAAAACCGAAACTCTAATACCATGTTAAACATCGTACATGATTGATCAGAGATATAACTGAACGGAGGGAATATATTAATATGGATGGGTTAGATTATATAAATAAATGAATATCACTTCATTAATGGATCAATAAGTTAAAACTCAATACAACTAGCCCATTTATAACCCAACGTCTAATCCCTATAATTGACCCAACAACTTTGGGTATTTTCAACGGTTTCATTAATGGGTGGGCTATCAATTGAGAACGAGTCCAAGTCTAAGATCAATGAGTCGAGACTGAGTTTTATGTTGTAAAGGCCCTGCATGCCAATTGTCTCAGTAGATTTCTGCCAGCTGTGGCAATCCCCAACAATAATAAATTATCGTTTGGCGAGTGAGTTGGTAAGCCGAGTTGAGTTGAGTTGAGTCCAGGTGAGTCATTTTTTCTCTGGCTTTGACCGAGTTACTTCTTCTGAGCTATTTTTCATTAGTTTCATGTCTTTTCTGATAGAAGTGGCGGTGCTTGAGCGTCTCCTGGTAGATGCTTTATCTATCACAAACAAACATGAGCATACAATATATTTTGTTTTTTTCGTAATTTCCATGCTTTGCCTACAAAATATCCGATTCAACCATCATCGATATGTCCGTTTGAATTAAATTTACATAATAACGTCATCTTAGGATGGACCAGATTTTTTTATTTTTTGTGGTAAATCTCCATCTACCGTATGCAAGGAAGATCCCTTTTCCCATATAAAAATTCCCTTGATATAAAAATTCCAAAAATTCCGCAATAGGGAAGTTCTTCTCTCTTCCATGGCTCTGTTTTTCACCCTTGTTGGTGTTTTTGCCATCTTCTGGTTTACATGGATGTACCTCAAGTCCAAGGGGAGTCCGCCATCTCCACCGGGCCCTCGAGGCCTTCCCTTAGTGGGAAGCCTTCCCTTCCTCCGTCCTGACCTCCACTCCTACTTCGCTGAACTGGCTCGCAACTACGGCCCAGTTGTCAAACTCCAGCTTGGGAGCAAGCTGGGGATCCTCGTCACCTCCCCTTCGGCGGCACGAGAAGTGCTTAAAGACCAAGACATCGTCTTCTCCAACCGTGATGTGCCTATGACTGCCATGGTTTTAACCGGCGGCCGTGATATAGCTTGGAACCCCTATGGTCCTGAATGGAGGATGTTAAGAAAAGTATGCGTCATCAAGATGCTTAGCAATGCTACTTTGGACAAAACATATGAGCTTCGCCGTAGAGAAGTACGGCAAACCGTGGGTTATTTGTATAGCAAGGCCGGATCGCCGGTAAACGTGGGAGAGCAAATGTTTTTAACGATATTGAATGTGGTGACCAGTATGTTATGGGGCGGCACCGTCGAGGGGGAGGCGAGGGCGAGCCTTGGTGCAGAGTTCAGGCAGGTCATCTCGGAAACAACTGAGCTTTTGGGTATGCCCAATATTTCTGACTTTTTTCCAACGCTGGCCCCGCTTGATTTGCAAGGTGCAGTGAAACGTATGAAAAAACCAATGGATAAGTTGAACACCATCATTGAAAACATAATCGATCAAAGGTTGAAGAAGGAGAGGGAAAGTGGGAGCAGTTCAGCACTGGAATTCAAGGACTTTGTTCAGTTCCTATTACAATTGAAGGATGACGAAGATTCCAAGACCCCATTGACTATGGATCATATCAAGGCCTTGCTCCTGGTGAGTTTTGCTTCTTCAATTAGATCAATTATTGATAAGTTCTTAAATAGCTATGAAAGAACAGAGTTCCTCTCCAAGTGCTCTAACCTAACAAAAAAAAAAAAAAAAGGATCTTTAAACAATAAACATACATTTAATACTTGACAGGATATGGTGGTGGGAGGATCAGACTCAAACTCAATTGAGTTCGTAATGGCTGAAATCATCAACAAACCAGAAGTGATGAGAAGAGCACAGCAAGAACTGGTTGAAGTAGTGGGCAAAGATAACTTGGTGGAAGAATCCCACATTCACAAACTGCCATATCTACTGGCAATAATGAAAGAGTCGTTGCGTTTGCACCCAGCTCTACCTCTCCTAATCCCTCATTGCCCCAGTGAATCCTGCACCGTCGGTGGTTACAGTATCCCGAAGGGTTCGAGGGTGTTCGTGAATGCATGGGCAATTCACAGGGACCCCTCGATCTGGGACAATCCATCGGAGTTCAACCCTGAGAGGTTTTTGAATAGCCGGTGGGATTTTAGTGGGAACGATTTCAGTTATTTTCCTTTTGGGTCAGGCAGAAGAATCTGTGCCGGAATCGCGATGGCTGAGAGGATGGTGTTGTATTCGGTTGCCACACTGTTGCATTCTTTTGACTGGAAAGTGCCAGAAGGTAACAACTTAGATCTTACTGAGAAGTTTGGGATCGTCTTGAAGTTAGAGAAACCACTTGTGGCAATCCCAGCACCAAGATTATCGGATGCCACTTTTTATGAATAACTCAGTTTAGACCTACTTCTACACCTTTGTTTGTACTAATAAAACTATTATTTACTCATATGGGTCAATTAATAGCATGAAAATAACGCTTTTCGTCCTAATTACACCGTATGTTTTCGAATTCCAACGCCAAGAGATTGATGTTATTCTAAATTTCATTCTGATTTTTTTAAACTCATTAAGTGACCTTAATGATTAAAGTGAGTGTTATTTTTATTAGATGTCTCGAGTTGAAACAGCTACTTTTGTAGGCATGATCACGTTGTCAATGATTAATTTTCATTTTAAAATATATATTATTTTATAATCATTAGGTTAAAATAATTGAAAAGAAAACAATTGAAAATCCTAAATATTAGAGTCATAAAATTGTAATATGAAGTCAATCTAGAAGAATAGGCAATTATGGGATTGCTGGAAAGGGAAGGAAAACCGGGAAGAAGACGATAGAAGAATTGTGGGAAGAACGTTTGAAGAGGGAGAGGCGGGAGAAGGAGAGGGAACGGACATTGTTAATCGGAAGGAGCAAAACAAATCCAACTCTGAAGGATACAAGGTTTTCCAGTAGGTGAGCTTGCAGAAACTAAAGCTCTGCAGGTTTATGTTTCTAGTAATTCAAATTGCAGAGTTGTATGAATTTAGGGGCTAACTAGCCTTTTCATATTATACGCACCACCTGAAGAAGAGGAGGAAGAATTCTTTTAAAATATATTATATATAAAAATATTTATAATTATTTTAGAGCAAGTAGGAATGATTTTATTCTAAATTTCATTATTCCACCTCCGATTTTTAACTCATCAAGTGATTTTAGTGATTAAAGTGAGTGTCATTTTTTTAGATGTCCTGGGTTCGAACAATTAGTTTTACAAGATGTATGCGTGTTCTCAATAATTAAAAAAATTGAATATATATTATTTTATAATCCCCGTATTATTTTTTTCACGTCCGTCACCATTTTTAACTTAATTTAAAATTTAAATACTAAATATATAAAATTAAATCAGGTTAGAATTGATCAATTTTAATTTATTTATCATCTAATGGGATTCCTAAATTAAAGGTGAGGACAACTTTCAAACTATAGAATTGTGAGTAAACAAAGATATTAGTGAATAATTATATATTAATAAAATAATAATAAAATGTCATGTTATAAAAATAAATAATAAGATAAGTTAGAAAGATTAAAACCTGAATAATTCAAAAATTAAATAGTTAAATAAAAAAAGTTACTTTAATAATTAAAATATTAGTGAGAATATAATTGAGTAATAATTTACCCATAACATTATTATATTTGGTCATCCATGTTATTTTGTTTAATGATGAGGAGTTTAACACTAGAAAAGATAATCCTTCTAGAGAAAAACAATAACAGGATGGTTTATCTTTCACTATAATCAAAATCTTGAAAAATATATTTATATGTGGTCTGCATAATGCTATCGGACTATTCATTATAAATATATATGCTCATCTTGCAATAAAACAATAAATTAAAGGGTAAAGTACACAAGTGGTCTTCCGACTATAAGTTGGTATTTTATTGAGTCACTTGACTATTAAAAGTTACAAAATAATCATTCGACTATAAATGGTTGCTTTCTTGAGTCCCTCGACTATTAAAGTTACAAAATTGTTACTCGACTATTCAAATATTTCAAACTTTGTTATTTTCCGTTAAAAATTTGTCGATTGTCTAATTTGGACGTTAATCAACTGACTGAGATTTGATAAAATTATATTTTTAATGATGTCTATTGACACTGTCGTTGTTTTCGAGCATTAACTCGACGACATAATGTTTCAAGAACTAACTTGATTCACAAAATACAACTCAAATAGTTTTGAAATCAGATTTTTATAATATTATAGTTAGCATGTTAACATCCAGCTCATACGATATTTAATTTTCTAATGGGAAAAATAAATTTGAAATATATGAATAGTTAGTTGATTACTTTGTAACTTTTCATAGTCGTGATATTCAATAAAACAATTCCTTATAGCCTAAGGATCATTTTGTAAGTTTTAATAGTTGAAGGACTTAGCAAAGTAATACCCTATAATGAATTTGAAATATATGAATAGTTGGGTGATTATTTATGTAATTTACCCTAAATAAAAGTAGAAAACTAATTTTCTTGACTTTTCCATTATTAATTTATTTTAGTTTGTTCTCTAAGATTCTCTTGTGGTATGGCTGTGGAAACGAGGGGTGCATTGCCTCTTGTCGTTATTGAAATGGACTATTTTATTTTGAAAACAGTGATGAGAATAAATTTAAAATTGGGATAAATTAATGTTTTTGTTTAATACGTTGTATTCGAACTGGTTTATCAAAATATTACATACGAATTAAACGAACTTAATGATTAAGAGATTAATATTATTTTTAAGATATCAAATTTAAATACGATATATATAATAATATATAAACGTTTATTGTTAAATGATTATTTTATATTTACTACATACTAACAAAAATTTGATGCCCAAAGGATATAGAAGTTGAGGCTTGCACGAGGAATCAGCCCATTGTTGTTTTGAGTTTCCAACAGATTAATTGGCAATATTTGTGGATGTATTTCGCTTCCCACCATTATCGGCCCAATGGTTTAATTCCCAACAATTGATGTGATTGTGCCTTTTCAATTTTTCTTCTTCTTAGAGTTGTATTTAAAGACGGATACATGATTTCGTTTTAGAAGAGACGGATTTATAAAATTTTAAATATGAATAAACATAATTTTAATAAAAAAATATCAAAAATATCAAAAAATTAAAATTTTATAAGGAGGGAGATTGTCTCATCCGCACTCTCTAATTCCATCCCTGATTGTATTTTCTAAGGTCATTTCTTTCCTTTTTAACGTCACTTCATGGTTTGATTTGAGGCACGTCCATTTCAACAACACTCACGTCTTTTCTTTATAATTTCCAAAAAGGAAATCGTTGATGCTTCCTATTACTTCACAAAGAACCCGCCATTTACGGGCGATGTTTATTGGATATTATTACACTAATAATATCTTTGTATCTTTATTCACTATCTTTTGGGCTGTTTCTCTCTGCTAATTCTACATTGTGGTGGGTCGACTCGTTATGTATCCATTCATTTTATTATTTTAAATTATAGTTCGTTTGAATCTTTTGAGTTAACTCATGTTTATTTAGTATTGTAGTTTAATCTATTTTTAAATTGATCTACTCTTATCTAATGTAATTAGGGATGATAATTTAACTAGAAATTAATAGGTTCTATTCTAATTTAATCAGATAGGATTGTCTTTTTTTTAAAAAAAAAAGGTTCAGGTCGGGTTTTATATAGGGTTAGGTTAAGACAGATCGAGTTTAGGTGAAGAGTGAAAAACTTTCTATCTGATCTGGTCTGAGGGTAACATAATTGCTATAATACTCATCTCTCTATAGCTTTCCAATTAGGTCTTTTGATTTATGTTGGATTGGATCAAATTAGATTGAATTTATATTTCAAAAAATTGAGTTAAGTCAAGTTTTTGAATCGAATTAAATTGAATTCGACCAAACTCATCAGCACATTGTCATCTCTAATTGTAATGTTGGTTAAGTTTTTGGAGAACTTCATCTATTATTTCAGTGACTGATATATTTTGAATAGTTAAAGTTTATTAGTAGTAATCATAGACCATGCATTATGCATATTTGTTTTTGGCATCATTTGCTTGTTATCTCATTATATGTTCCCCATATGGTATATATGTTTTGGTCTCACTTTTTTTTGGATAACTCAAAATTTTAAAACTCGATTTAACATATGGAGGATTGAATATTTAATTTTTATTAGTATTAATTTCGAGGATCAAATAACAGATTGGCTAACAAATACTGAAAGAGCATTTGGAGGGTGAATGTACCCCAACAAATTTGTGTATTCCTATGGTTCATCAATCATGGAAGACCGATGACTAACGACAAAGGAAGATCCTGACATTTGTATTATTTAAACTCAAAACTTTAAAAAAATGATACTTATTTTTAATCACAAAAACCGCTTGATAGATTCACTTCTCAAGAAATTTTAATTAAAGTAAATAAAAAATTATTTTTTACTGAAAATTTTGGACTTCGGGTAAGCAAAACCCAAGAACTCATCCAAGATATGGTTAAATTCTTCGGAAATTCCTTTCTTAATGTCTAATGGAGAAAGGAAAGACACAAGAAGACAATAATTAAACTATATTAATTAATTTTATAGTTTAATTTATAATTATTTATAATATAATTAATATTATATTTAATATATTTTTATAATGTAAATATAATTTATTTTAAAATCGTTTTAAACTTAAAGCATTTTATTCTCAATAACCTAATAATTACCTTAGTTGTGAACCCATTGAATTGTCTCAGTAGTAAAAGATAATATTATTATTTCTAAAGGATCAGTGTTCGAGCATTATTAATGCTTGAGAATTATTCTGAACATATTACCTCGTGATTATGCGTGCATATTGTTAATGACTAAAAATTATGATACTACCTTATAATCACTTCAAATTATTAAAAAAAACATTTTTCAATATCCCAATTTGATTCAAGATAAGAGTCGAATTTTATCCAAGCTCATCTATATTTGAATATGACTAACTTAAGCCTATTTTTTACCACCCCATACTACTTTTTTTAAAAAACTAATAATTCAATAGTTTTATATTATTTTTTCATTAAATTTATTTATTATTTTATACTTGAACAATCTAATACATTTTTAATGTTTATACTATAGTATTATAAATTGTAAATTTATCTTTTAACTTATATAAAATATAAAATTTATAATTTATAAAAGTAACATGCTACAATATATTATAAACATATAAAAGGAGCCTAGCCCGATTTGAATCTTGCATATTATGGCCTGAGTCGACCCATTTTAAAATATATTTAATATCATGTTCAAATTTATTTTTTGAGTTTAATATTTTTACACAAATCTTCTTAAATTTTAAATAAATCTTTAGATTTTATTAATTATTCAGACGATTACAAGGTAATATATGTTGATCATCTTTTTTTAATCATTAATAACACACATACAAACACAATTATTCAAACTCAAGACTTAAAAAAATAACAACGTACCTTTCAAACTTAAATATCATAAATTAAACTTAATTCTTAATAAGTTTAATCACAACACAAACTAAATATCATAAAATTATGTAGACCAATGGCGGCAAAACTACGAGAACAGTTAGATTTAACGATTAATTATCCCAGTGTCGGTATTGCAACACAACATTTGAACAAAGTTATAATCGAAGATCGATCATTCCGACAATAGAATCCATAAGTGGACCCTTTCTTTTCCCTCTTTGAAAGGTAACATTAGTAGTAATTAGGCATAGAAATGCATGTATTGAACAATTAACACGAGCAGTGATTTAGCGTCTATGAGAATCCAAGGCTCAGGAATAATGATTATACACTTTTGTCCTACTTATTTTTGTTTCAAAAAATACTATAAATGAATTGATTTTGGGTCAACAACCTCTTGTATTACATTTTGACTTGTCATAAGTTTTATGCAAATTCATCCGTTTTTTAAATTTTGTTTTATAAATATAAAATTATGTGTCTGTTTGTGGTCGTTACTAGTTTTTTTTTATAAAAAAATTAGTTCTCAAATAAAATTAAACTCGATTAATAAGTGTTAGCTGTAGTGATAAACCACATAATAATTTTAATGAGAAAACTTTAGATTTAAATTATAGAGTTAACATTGTTGAGAGTGACAATCCGAATTTTGAACATAAATCATAAAATTAACATTAAAGATAAAAAATGAATGATATTTTTTGTAAATTAATTTAATTATTTAATAAACTAAATTGTCTAATTTTAATTATAAAAATATATTAATAGTGATATAAAATTAAGGTTAATGTTTTTTTATAAAAAAAAAACAGCATCAACTTGGGTGGGATAGTTTGCTATTTTTTTGGGGGCAATGGCATATATAATCAAAGACCCATGTGAGGGATGCCAATTCCAGTTGACCTCAACAACAGTTTTCAAATTCATAATCTAAAGGAACATTTGCCCCAATTAATTATATTAAAAATAGTTACTATAAAAATATATAATTGGGTATCATTAGATTTGTAAAATGATATAAATAATTTTAATAATACACAATATAAAAATATCATTAAGATTGAATAAAATAATATTTATATATACTTTGTAATAGGATCAAATACATTAAATGAAATAAGATTTTAAAAAACTATATTACAATTTGAATAAGGAATTTGACTACTAAAATCTTTGTTTTAAATTTTAGTATTATTAAATAAAAAATATTTGAACATTTTGAAGAACTTAATAAAAATAATCTTCCACAACATTCCTTAAATTCACATTCGTTGGTCAAGATAGTTGTGCTCTCTTTCACTAATTCAACTAAGAAAATCCAAATTGAGAAGCCTAATTTTCCAATCATACAAAGTCCAAACCCACATGTAAATAAATCTCTAGGTAGGGTCCATTGAACAAATTTGTTCACCTACAAGAAAATTCACCATCATCACAGTAGATACTTGATGATCAGACCTTAATTCAAAACCAAACTTGAAAAAAGAAAAAAAATCAAGCGATGGGAAATTGTTTCCTAGGGTCACAGTCATGATAGCTAGCTGTCATCGAGAACCAGTTGCCCATATTTCTTTATCAACTATTCAACTCTGTATTAAATTTGGAATGGGAACATGTTGCTTTGCTCCACAAGTCGCTATTAATTGTGCATTCTCTGTTTCAACTTCGGCATGCACAGATGCACTAAGCTCTAAACTTCTCTTCCTTTCTGTCTCTTTCCCTACTTACCTCTCTGTTCTCACTATCTTGTTCTTGATTTCATTAAATACTGGACTGCACTTACTTCAAACTTCTACAGGAAAAGAAACAGATATGGGTTGTTTTCTTTGATCTTTTTTTCATCGTTTTCTTAAAAGAGAAGAAACCCCGGAAGATTTCAGCCAAGGGAAAAGATGGGTGTCTTTCGGTTCCTGTTCTTTCTTGTTCTTTTGTTCACACTTCAGGTTCCACGGCGTGTTCATGGGAACACGGAGCTGAAGGCTTCTTTAGACCCAACAAACAAGGTGCTGGAGTCGTGGAAAAGTGATGGGGACCCTTGCAGTGGTTCTTTTGCGGGTGTGGCTTGTAATGAGCACCGTAAGGTGGCTAACATTTCGTTGCAGGGAAAGGGTCTTTCTGGTGAACTCTCGCCTGCTATTGTGAGACTCAAGTGTCTCTCTGGCTTGTACTTGCATTACAATTCGTTGTCTGGAAAGATACCGGTAGAGCTTTCACAACTTCAGGAATTAACTGATCTTTATCTTAATGTCAACGATCTGTCTGGTAACATTCCTCCTCAGATCGGAAACATGGCTGCTTTACAAGGTTTGTTCATCTCAAAACAAAATTATTTTGGACCTGACTGTTTGTCTGATTTTGATGATAATAAGATCAGACACTGAAAACAATTTTTTTTTGCCTTGTAGTTCTACAGTTGTGTTGCAACCAGCTGACAGGGAATATGCCTAGGGAGATTGCCTCTTTGAAGCGACTAAATGTTCTTGCTCTGCAATATAATAGACTAGATGGTAAAATCCCAGCCAGCATAGGCAACTTGAGAATGTTAAGAAGACTTGACTTGAGCTTCAATGGCCTCTTCGATTCAATTCCTCCAACGTTAACTGACATCCCACAACTGGAAATTCTAGATATCCGAAACAATAAACTATCTGGAAATGTCCCTTCGGGTAACAATGTTTTTCATGCACCAACTTCTTAGATTTCTTGTGTGATTCCTGCTTCTTTATGTTAACTTGAGGTTGATTTGTTATCTGTAAAGGTTTAAAAAGATTAAAAGGAGAATTTCATGGTGACAACAACCCAGGTCTGTGTGGAACAGGATTTCCAACATTGAGAACTTGCGGCCCTTTTGATGATATGAATATTAACAAGCTAGAACCATTCAGATCACATCTAAATAATACTGCTCCAGCACCAGCCGTTACCTTGAACACATCAAATATCCAGGGACACTGCAACCACCCTCATAGCCTACATCGATCCAGATTCCTAGAAATATCTGTTATTTCAGGGGTTACTGTGGTTACTTTCATATTTATGGTTGCTGGATTCCTCGCATTTGTTCATTGCCGTAGGAAGAAACAGAAGATTGGAAATACATCTGGTCCTTCTGAAGAGAGCATTGGCATTGACCAGGCAAAAGAATTTCAAAGAAATGGGAGTGTTTCCCCACTCTTAGATCTTGAATACTCGTATAGGTGGGATCCATTAGGTGATGGATGGAAGGGCATTGGATTTTCCCAGGAAAATCTGAATAAGTTTAGGTTAGACCTAGAAGAAGTTGAGTCAGCAACTCGATGCTTTTCCAAGTCGAATTTACTGGGAAAGACGAACTTCTCATGTGTGTACAAAGGGATTCTGAGAGACCGTTCTCCTGTAGCCATCAGAAGCATAAATGTAACCAGCTGCAAGTCCCAGGAAGTGGAGTTCGTTAAGGGCTTGTACTTACTAACATCGTTACGACATGAAAACCTAGTCAAGCTGAAAGGCTTTTGCTTCTCAAGGGGCAGAGGCGAATGTTTCCTCATTTACCACTTTGCTTCCAAGGGAAACCTGTCCGAATACCTCGATCTAGAAGATGGAACTGACTCAGTTCTTGACTGGCCAACAAGGATTTCCATCATCAATGGCATTGCAAAAGGTCAGTTTCAGATCAGGTTTATGCTCCATAAACTACAAGCAACAATCATATGTTTCTCTTTGACTAAATATTCTTGTATTTTGCTCTAACAGGTATGGAATATTTGCACAAAAGTGAAGAAAACAAGCCGCCCATAGTCCACCGCAACATATCTGTCGAGAAAGTTCTCATCGACCAACAATTCAACCCATTGATTGCAGACTCTGGTCTCCATAAGATTCTAGCCGACGACATTGTCTACTCAACTCTGAAAGTAAGTGCATCCATGGGTTATCTAGCACCAGAATACATCACCACAGGCCGTTTTACAGAAAAGACCGATGTATTTGCATTTGGGGTTATCATTCTCCAAATCCTGTCTGGTAAACTTCAACTCACAAACTCAATTCGGTTGGGGGCTGAATCTAGCAGGTTTGGAGATTTTGTTGACAAAAATCTCAGAGGAGAATTTTCAGAATTCATGGCAGCTAAGCTGGGGAAAATTGCACTCGATTGCACCCATGAAGAACCTAATAACAGACCAAGAATGGAGACAATAGTTAAAGAGCTTAATGATTGCAGTGTCAGCCCTTGATAGGCATTCTTTTTTCCCAACTTGAGACTGATGATGACGGAATCAAAAAGATCGCTGAAACTTGCTTTTTGCTGGTTGTTGTAGATCTTTTGAGAGGTACTATGATGATTGAGGTGTGAAAAGATAGCAATGTCGTGTAAAGTGGAGTTGCAGATAGCTGGAATGCTTTGGGAGGAGTTTCCCCACTGATGACTAGCAATAATAAAAAGGAAAACCTAAGGAGATATGGGGAGAAATAACTTTCTAATCACACAATTTGATAACATACATCTTCGTATCTCCATAGGCACTGGGCCAGCAAAACGAGCCTCAACTACTGACTAGTGACATCATGGTTAATAAAATGTCTCCTGGAGAACAGCATCCCCTGATTTCTTTTATTTTCTTTAGTGATGAGAGAAAAATGTAAAAAAGTTAACTGTTGTAAAATAAGTTCTGAAAAGTTGTACCATTGTGTGCATGAGGATCAACCAATGGCCTGAACTACCGAATTCAGGCAAAGCGGTTTATGCTGTAGCGGTATGTTGATCTTGAAACCATTCTGCAGGCAACAAATCTGATCTAATTGCCATAACCTTTATATCCTCCTGCCCCTGTATTGCCGATGTATCTTTGAAGGCATTGTCAAGCCGCAAGACATCCATCCCACGAAAGCCTAGTGCAGTGGCAACATTCCCTAGCCTCTTATTAGTGACAGTGTCGATCACCTCTGATTCAGGGATAAATTTTCCCTCAACCTCTGAAATAATAGAAGTATCAAGATGTGTTGCTGCAAAAATAATTAAAATTATCAAAAGCCCAGTGGATGGAGACTGCCTTCTCCGCTATTATCGAGAAACTTTAAAGGAAGCAATCGCTTGCGAATAACCCCCCTGTGGTGCGTATGAGCTATAAGTTCTTGCCCGACATAGCACCCTTTATCAAAGCTGATTGCGTTTAGCCTATCAAAATTGTATTCAAGTGGAATTGCTTCGCTTAAACAACATAATAACAATATCACAACCGAGACTGGGCGTAATAGCTTAAAACTTTGAAAACATACTAATATATTCAATAAACTCAAGTACACCATTGGCAACAAAGCAAAAGAGCACCTTTTGGAATTTCAGTTAAGCCCTCACCAACTCCCTTCTCTAATCTCCACATTAGGTAATTCTCTTCATCTGTTTCTTTATCAGACTCGACTAAAGGTGCTGCAAGAAACAAAAGAATAAGAAATTATTTAAGCAATAGGTGAATTACATGCTCAAACTTCTTAAGAAAAAACATGATCCTACATAGATTATAATCTCGAAGCAATGCCTTGAGTTAGAAATGTAGACAATAATACATTTCAGAAGCAACAAAAGATATGTGAAGTCACTCGTTGTACCAGATGGAAAAATCCCCCGAGCACCTAGACAATCTAATCTGGGGTCCTTAAACCATTGGCATCCAACATCACTGCCAAGTGAAGCTGACTTGCTAGAACCATCAACACCACTGCCCCAACCAACTGAAGCTGCCTCTGGTTCTTCCACAGCAGGGGTCTTTCCAGAAAGGTTACCACCATATCTCTGCCAGCAACAGAAGTCTTCTGCCACATTCTCGATATCTACTTTAGACCTCAACCGGTATCTACAATAGCGAATACAGCAGATACCAGAACACCACTAAGATGAATTCTAAATTTAGCATTACCATAAAAGACAAGCACACATCACTTCACTATAATCAAATGTCTTAAAGAAACAAGAACATTTTCAGATAAATCTCTTCAACAAATCATTTCTGGAATAAACAGAAACCATGCAGAATTCAAACAGATTATGGATTTAACAAATAATAGAGAATTTCTAACGTCACAAGCATTAATACATGGCATTAAAGGTCCATCCAGAACTCGGAAACACAAAAGAAAGCTTTTCTATATAAAGGCAACAACAGAAGAAAACTTAACCTCAGAACAGGAGATCCTAAGTAAACCAAATGCAGAAGATATAAACAACAGAAAATCAGAACAGGAGATCCTAAGTAAACCAAATACAGAAGATATAGACAACATAAAATCATTCTTTCGAAAGCAATATAGAAAAGATTTAACATTTTAGAAAACAGTTAAACTAAATGTACTCACTTCTTAAGAGTTACTAACAACTCATCCAAGATCGACATATCAACATCAGCCAAAATCTCCACCGATCCATCAGACCCACTACCTGGACCAGACCCAATTCTGTCCAGGTTCTCCTCAGGCCGGGGCAGCCTATACAAGAACAAGTCATACAAAAGCCTCCCTTGAGGCGTCAAAAGAGCTGCATACAGAGGCGGAACTACTACAGAGGCCAAGTTCGGTGTAGTAATGGGGGAGTTCCCTCCACGTGAGGTGTTCATCAAACCTCCGAACATCGTTTGATAAAAGACCCTGAAGGAATTTGATGGTGTCGGGTCCCGAGAACCGGATCACGGACCCGGATTTTAAGTGAGAGCAGAGCGGACCGGCGTTTTGGAGGTCGTGGAAGCAACGATGGTGGAAGAGAAGCGAGGGTCTCAAACGGTACATTTTAGAGTCGTTTTGTACTAGAGATTGGAGTTGATTCTATGCGGGTTTAGAATAGTTCTTCATGGGAGAATAGGATGATGGACACGTGGGCGTCGTTCGAGATTTTTGTTATAATCTAATGGATAAATTATACAGTTCATCAATAAACTTCACTCTTTCTTCTATTTTATTCACTTAACTTTTAATTTATTTAATTTACTTATTAAACTTTATAAATTGAATTGTTTTAGTCACTCCTCCATTAATTGTCTAACCGCGTTTATGACGTGGAAACTACTTACACTTTTCCTTTTTATATTTATATGACTTTTCAAAAGGGTATCCTTTATTATTTTCTTATTCTTTCATTGTCAAAATCGGATCAGAACGGTCGGTTCAATCGGTTTAATCGGAAACCGTTGTTTAGTCCGGTTCAATTTAAACCGGTTGAACCATTATTAATGAACCGGATAGAACCGTTGAACCGTTCAAATCGGACCAGCTGAAAATCGGAAAAAATCGGGATTTTTGTTTTTTTAAAAAAAAATTAAATCCAAACAACGTTGTTTGTTAAACGAGCCAAGTCGAACTCGAGTATTGTTGAGCTCGACTCGAACTTAAAAACTTTAAAAGTAAGCTCAACTCAAACTCACAAGCTAAAAATTATCAAGTTCAACTCAAACTCGAAATATAATATTGAAACTTGAACTCAAAAAGGCTTGAACTCAAAAAAAATTAGAAGCTCGATTAAAGCTTAAAATTCGAGCTTGATTGAAGTGAAAGAATAGTTATATAATTATAGTTATATAATTTTGTTATGATTTTTAACCCCAAATTTATTTTTTAATTATAGTTATATAATTATATTTATTATTTAATATATTTTACCTTAAATATTATGTTGTAGTTAATTTGAATCATTTTGTTTCACTTGATTTTATGGTTTTTAACTTATATATGTTATGACTTGCTTTGAATATGACTTGTGATATAAAAAATTATTTTTTATTAAATATTTTTGGTATTTTTATTTAATTTTTAAATAATTATGACGTCGTTCGGTTCTTCCGACCGGTCGAATCGGTTCGACCGGTTGAATTAGTGAATCAGTAACATGACTGGTTCGCTAACCGGTCCGATTCTAAAAACCATGTATCAGATTTTTCTTTTGATAAGATGCATCAAAATCACTTGCATTTCTAAGGAAAAATAAGAAACTCAGGGTGATGGATCATGGTTCCTAAACCGACATTGAACCGGTGAAATAAACGGTGCTTGACACTAGATTTCACCACCGGAATTCCTCCAACCAAAACACCCACCACTCCAAAAGAAGAATTTCATTGTGTTTTTCTTTAAATATAAATCTAGAAAACATATATTTAAAGGGGAATTACTATTTTACATAAAGATAAACATGGAACATCAGGGATAAGCAATTATTATAAAGTTTCAGCATCTCTTGCTTTCAGTTCCATAACAATTGGAACCAAGAAGTATCAGAAACATCTAAGATTTTTTAGAACTGGAGGTTAAACATCATACTGTGAAAGTCTGAAGCTTCAAATCTTACAATCATACTATTCCAAAATGAAGGAAAACAAAACAAACACGTTCCTGTAAACATAAAACAAAAGCCATGGGCTTTTCATGTTTTTAATTCCTTCTTTGAATCATTAACAAAATACACGATGATGAAAACATTTATTGTAATACAAAGGAATATAAAACAACATAAAATAACAAACATGAACAACATAAATGACAATCGTCAACCAAACGGTGAAGGAGGTTGTCCTCGAAAGATACAAAGAGATTTACAGTGGAAAATACTTTCTCAAATGTACAGGTTTCTGGTCATCCACAAATCACCATTGAAAACTAAAACACCGATCGAAAGCAGCAAGTCGAGCTTCAACAACAATGAAACCATAACGTTCCAACCTAAAAAGGGCTAGTTGAGCTGTGAAAACAGTTGTAAGCCTTTTTTTCATGCTTTTTTTTTTACCGTCGTTGACGGAAAATCTGGCATTGTCACCTCTGTTACCTGCGCATCGGTCATCATGGTGAGAATAACATCTATCATTGCTTTTTCATCAAACTGGTAATTTTCTACATCGTTTTTGTCAATTGCTTCAAGGAAGAGCATAAACTCATTAACCAGTTTCTACTTGGCGGCTTCATTGGCAAGTATACTCTGCTTCCTTCTCTGAAGCATTACACATTCTTCAGCCTTCTGTAGAAGATCTAATTCATGAACCCTCATAAACTCTTTTATCTGCTGGTTCTCCTCTCTATACCTTTCCACCGCGACTTTCAGAGCCAAAGCAATTATGAAATCATGGAGATCCTGTTTTATAAAAAAACTGTATTATTTGTTAACAAAATCTAAGATTCCATCAACAATAAATAGTAAGTGCAAGTGGTTTCGCTATACCTTAACAAAAGAAGAAGATGGCGGCAATGAAAGAAGTGAAGACAACAAAGGATCCTTTGTTGAAAAGTCAAATAAATATA